CCCCTCTCCCCACGCGGCCCCTGCGCCCCCGGCCTCCCCCTCCCTCCCGCGAAGGAAGTCAGGGTGTCATCTCTCCAACGGGGTGGTGTCTGCTCGGATGTCACTCAGGCCTCCCAGAGGGTCAGGGAAATGCTGAGACGCAGACAAAATAAAACATGCGTCAGGGGTGGGACCAGAACATGCGCCCCGTCTCCGGCCGAGCCCTGGGCACCTCTGGGCGGCAGGCGGCTCGTTGCAGTGCCTGTCCCCGAGGCCGGGCTGTGACCGCCGCCCGTGCCAGGTGCCTGGGACCCGCCAGGGAGCCAGCGACAGCCCGGCCCGAGGGCTGAAGGGACTCAAGCGGGTGGAGGGGAGACGGCCTCCGCCTGGCGCGGGTCCGAGGTGCTGGGCCCGCGCTCGGGGCCTGCGCTGGGGTGTGAATCTTACACCTGCCGACGCCCCGTGTCTGACGGCTCCGTGGATTCTCGGGGCTTTCTCTGTCTGTGACGTCGCCCGAGAAGGACCATTTCCCTTCCCCTCCCCCGCCCGTCGGCCCCTCCCGCTCCTTCCCGCATCGCACTTGCTCCTTCCTCGCTCTGTGGCCGCTCGCTCTGTGGCCACCGCTTCCTTCTGTGCTCCCTGCGCCCCCCTTTTCTCTGGGCGGCCCGTCCAGCTGAGACGGGAGGAAATGGTAGCCGCACACACAATGGACAGAGGTTTGTATCAAGAACATCGGGAGAACGGCCCCGAGGCCGGAGGAAAGCAAAGTCCCGATGGAGCGGAGGCCGAGCGCAGACGGGAAGGCCGTGCGGAGGTTGATGTGCAACCGACACGTGAGGGGGCCGCCCAGTCTCCCGGGAAGCGGCAAACCAGGGCCCGGGAGCCCGGGAGGGCGGGGCATGAGGCCACCCTTTCGGATAGCACCCCCCCAGTATATTAGGGAGAGACGTGCAGACAACCCTGAGCCCGGTCCCGGGAAGAAGCAGGAGGGACGCGGTGTCCTGGGTCCCCGGGGGCGGGGAGGGGGTCGCGCCCACAGCCACCAGCTGGACAGAGCCCGCCCCCTGCGGCGGGAGGACGTGTGGGTCTCAGTGAACTACTCCCGCGAGGGCCTCGGCCAGGACGTGCCAGTGAGTCCCGGGCACCGCCGGCTGCGGCTTCGTGGATGGAGGCCTTCCAGGCCCCTCCGGTGATTTCTGGAAGGAAAGAGGAAAACGCAGCCCCCTTCCTGGGACGGGGCCGCGGGCGGCTTCTTTCATTGTTTCTTTGTTGATTTCGGGGGGGTGGGGGGAGAAGCATCCATGGTGGGAGAACATCTTACAAAGTGGCCCCGGGCCGCCCAGCACCGTTGGACGCCAGGGGTTCCTTCCTCAGCGTCTGCTTGAGGCCACGCTGAACTTTTCTTACAGAAATGGACTGGGGTGTTTTCTCTGCGTCTCCCATTGGGGTCTTAGACGCCACGTCCCGCCCCAGCCGCCGCCCTCACACAGGAAGCCAGGTCAGCGTCCCAGTCCCTCTCAGTCACGGTCGCCCTTCAAGCGAAGCCCCCGGTTCCCGGGCGGGCAGGGGCCGGGGTGGGGGACAGTGTCCCTCGGGGCCAAGGGCAGGACGGGCAGAAGGCTCCCCGCAGCCCAGGCTGCGTGCTCAGGGCTTCCCGGCGCCCACCTCTCCCTCCGGCTACGCATCAGCTCGCTCAGCAGGCAAAGGCCCTGCATTTAATCAGAAGAGAGAGGAACCGCCCGCCCGCCCGGCGGGCTCAGGGGCTGAGCGTCGACCTATGAACCAGGAGGCCAGGGTTCGATTCCCTGTCAGGGCACAGGCCCAGGTTGCAGGCTCCATCCCCAGTGCGGGGCGTGCAGGAGGCAGCGGATCAGTGATTCTCTTTCATCAGTGATGCTCTCTCAACACAGATGTTTCTATCTTTCTCCTTCCCCTTCCTCTCGGAAATCAATAACAATATATTAGAGAGAGAGAGAGGGGAGCCGACTCTGACCGGCATCCCCGGCCGAGAGGAGAAAAAAATACATCAACAAACGCCCAACAAAACACAAATGAGCGTCTGACGCAGCGATCAGGGAGGAGGCCGTTCTGAGGCTGACGGGAGGCGCTGCATCGCCCGCCGAGTGCAGAGGCTCATGTGTCACTCACCGGCCGCCAGGCGCTCCCCCGCGGCCGTGAATACCCGTGTGATGATGTTACATGAGGAACGGCAAAGGCTACCAAATAGATTAGATCTGTCAGATGGCGAGGGCGGGCGGAGGCCGCCGTCCACACCCAGCGCCGGCCCCTCCCTGCCTCCTGGCCCTAAGGAGCACAGTGGTCACACACCAGGAGGCAGGCTGAGGTCAGATTGGCTAAGAGGGGTGCTCTCATGCTAACGGCCCGAGGAGGCACAATGTGACGCTGCAAGCATAAGCCGCAGCAGGTGAACTTTATCGGGCTGTTCCTGTGCGTGTGCGCACACACTTCCACAAGCACATGCCTGAATTCCTGTGCGGGTGACTGTGTACACGCCCACACATGTGCAGATGACCACAGTGCTGTGCGCATGACTCAGTACGCGCTCGCGCACACACACACACACATACACACACTCTTCCATAAGCATTTGCCTGAGTCCCTGTGAGGGTAACTATGCACATGCCCGCACGTGTACAGGGGCCCATGGTGCTATGTGCATGACTCTGTACACACACACACACACACACTTGTCTGAATTCCTGTGTGCACAACCATGCAGTGCACATGTGTGTGCGTGTGTGCGCAGCCATGCCTGCGTTCCCGTGTGCACACCACAGACACTCAGGTGCCTTTCATCCTCCCTCCAAACGGCTTTTTGGGGAACCAGCTGCCGCAGCCCAGGCGCCGTCCTCATGCCACTTGGACGCCTCACGGGTGTGACTCGCTCGGACACGGAGGGGCTCGGGGCGTGGCTTTTCAGCGTCTCCATGGACACGTCCTGCATCTCGCTCATCACGCGAGCCGGCCCGGGCGCAGGCTGATCCCATTGGTTGAAAGGTCGTTGTTGCCCCCAAGGGGTCCCCTCCCTGAGGAGTGACCGGGCCAGATCGCGCAGCTTTTACTGGATTGTGACTCCGCGGGTGGCACCGTGTGAGACCAGGGCCGGAGCCGGGCACCAGGCTGCCACCGAGGCTCCCGCGAGCCCGGGCGACGCTGAGCACGACCCCCACCCAGGCTGTGTCTACGCGAGTGAAGGGGGGCGCTGGGACCGTGACGTGGGCGTCCCCCATCGGCCTGGTGGCCCCGCGCCGCTTGTGGTGAGGCCCCCACAGGAGCGGCAGGGCTGGGGCCTCTGCGCCCAGGCGGTGAGTGGGCCGCCCGCTTCCTCGGTGGCCGTGTTTGCAGACGCGTCCCCCTGGCTCCGTCCTGGGACTGATTTTTATTGATCTCAGAGAGGAAGGGGGAGGGAGCGAGCGAGAAACACCGATGATGGGAGTCATGGACCGGCAGCCTCCTGCATGGTCCCTCCTGGGGATTGAGCCTGCAACCCGGGCCTGTGTCCCGACCGGGAATTGAACCCGGGACCCTTCAGTCCACAGGCCGACGCTCTGTCCCCTGAGCCACACCGGCCAGGGCCGTCCTAGGACATTTTTAACTGGGAGCACGGGAGAGGGTGTGTGATGGTCTCCAGACAGTCGGAGATCGAAACGGTTCTGTTCTTGTGTTTTCTCCCCACAGCGCAGCGTCGAGTCTGATCCATCAGGGGAGGAGCTGCCACGGTTCCCCCGAGGGTCTGCGGCCTTGGCTGGGCCCGACCCCGGAGCCGCCTGCAGACTGGTGAGTGCCTTGTCCGCACCTTCTCTCCGCGCTGGCTCTCAGATCCTGGCCCCTCGGAGGCCGGAGGCTGGCCTGGGCAGAAAGGTGGCCTGGAGGCTGGGGGCGGGGTGTGTGGCCTGGAGGGCTGGGGCGCCCTGCTGGCAACGAGGCAGGCCCACTCGCCCCCCTTCCTTCCTGGACCCGTCACAAAATGCAAACCAGCGAGTGTGTAATAGATAACGAACAGGCTGATCAGCCAGCAGGGGACGCAAGGAGATACATAATTTTGATTACCCTTGGGCTGCCCGTGATTCTCTCCCTGCCTTTTTACTAAGCTCTGTTGACGGGCGCCCTGAATACCGCGTGCCATCCTGGCGAGTCCCTGCCCGCTGCTGCGGGGTCTCCCACCGGCCTGCCCTGGGCTGGACACGCGTGACCTCAGGGCCTCGCAGGGGCAGCAGCCCAGCTCTGGCACCTGGCAAAGGGCTCAAGTGCCGGGGCCGGCGGAGACCAGGCAGGTTGTGCTCAGCTCCCAGGCCCGCCTCCGCCCGCCGCCCGCCATCCACCGCCCTCCGTGGTGCTGCTTATATGCTGGCGGACTTAGCGACCTTTACTGGGCTTGGCACCTGCCCTGTACGTGCCAGCTCGCTGGCCTCCCCAGGGAGGACCTGGCCCATGAATAGCCTTGGCCGAGGTCCCTCCTGCTCCCAGTGCCAACAGGGAAAGTGGGTTAACACATATCAAAGAAAAGGCCCTCCAGGGGGCCTGCGGCCAACTCTGTCCCAGACGCTCCCCGAGTGGCTGATGGG